AAAAAAAAAAGAAGAATAGAAAATAGAATTATAATCAGTTCATAAAAATAATGAAGTTTACGATTTTTTAGTCAAACTTTTGTTGTGGGGATGTCCTGCTACATATATTTCAGATGAGATGATTACATGCTTTGCAAAACAAGTTGATTATAAAATAAGGTCCCATATGTTGAATATATTAACATTGCAACATTTTCAGAAAAACGGATTTGGATCACACTATTTATAAACAGTCCTCTTCCCTAAACTTAATTGAGATATCTTATTTTTTCTTTTTTCAAACAATTTTCTTCCCTTTTTCTAACAGTAACATTTTAAAAAATTCTACTCATTTTGAAAGCGAAGTAATTTGGCCATTAATTCTTCAGTAATTTTATCCATTTTGGCTGCTTTCTCAGTTGCTCATGATCAGCTCAGTCTTTCAATTCGAACTCAAACAACTACTCAGTAAAATGTATCATTGCAAACATATGTTCAAGTCTAATCTGTGCACAAATAACGTTGCCAGACTGAATAATTCCTATAATAATATTCAACTTTATTTAAATATATATAACGTTACTTTCTTTTAAAAAAAATAATGATATCTGACATGTTTTTAAATGATTTTTCGATATATTTTCAATAGTTCAAAACGCGATAAAGAATCGTATTTTGGTGGTCTATTCCACCGATTGATATTTGTTGCATTTTTCCTCCTATTGTTTGCTAGAACCATTTGATGTTTGAATAAGAAATGAATAATATTATCAGCGGCTCGGCTAAAACTCTTTAGGCAAGCCACCAGAACTTTATCTTTATTAATAGGAATACGAAAATTGAGAATTCAAAAATTAAAAAGACGTGTAAACTTAAATATTTATAAACATTTATAGTTGCAATTGATATATATCTATATATTTATGGCATTTTGACATTTCGAGAAGATAGATTATATTGGATATAGTATAGAAATTAACTAAAAGTTTACTACTGGAATAGAACTTTCCAAATTCAATAATTTTGTAATTTGACTTAAAGAAATAAAAAAAAAAAAATATAATGCTTTCAATCTCTTCAGAACTTGACAAATACCCAAAGTTGAGGACCAAAAGGCATTCTAATTTCAATACCTATTAACATTTTTGGCAATATTTCAACTCAACTCACAAACTCCAATTAATAAGATGAAATTTTTTTGTTAACATCTTAATTAACAACCAGTTAAAATATTTCAAACTGGCCTTGAATTTTTTTAAATAAAAATCTTGACTCTTTAAAGAAATGCTTATTGAATATTTTCATTCATACATGTACTTAGGAAAATTTAACATTTGAATGTATTTTTCAAACTCTTTGGTGAATGTATAAAGCGTTCAAATTCTACAACAAAAACACTATTGACTGGTTGTCGGAAAAAAAAACAAAAAACAAAAAAACAAACTTGTATTCATTTTATCATTCTATAATATATAAATATGATGCTGTGATGCATAGGTATAATAAAAAGAATAAAATAAGAGGAAAAAAATGCGATGATATAATCGAATCAATTTTTATTTCAATTCACACTATCGATTCAGACTAACTCGAACATGAATTTTGATCTCTTTATCCGATAATCAGAAAACGTATCGATAAGAAAACAAGGTTTATTCGTTTGTAAGATACATATTTATAAAGCTTTCATATCGTCAATAGTTTACTAAAGGGTTACTAGTCTTGAGAGAGACAAACGTGACTGAGACGATCCCAATTTATCTGAACATGCGCAATATGGCGACTCAATGAGCTCCAGAACTACCAAATAATTAATTTTCTAAAGTTCTTTTTCATTGAAAATCCTAAAAATTATTGCCAAAATTTTGCCGTTTTCTTTCACAGAAGGTCTGGAGCGTACAGACAGCAACAAAAAGTTTTTCAGCGCACTTTGTAGGCAACGGTTTCAGAACAGTTCAGTCTGTCGTTAACTAGAAGCCACAGAAAAAGAAGGATTTACAAGGTTTCAAAATAACTGAATCGCCTAACAATTTAGAGATATCGGCAACAAAATTTCAAACATTGTTTTCTTTTTTTCAACAATACCTTAAAACTGTTCCAAAACACAGGAACTAAGCTAAGACATGATTGCCTGAGTTTCTGCACGACTCCGTTGGCTCGAAAAAGCGGCCAAACGTGTTCGTTTCTCCTCGTGCTGAAGTATCTAGTTACATTAAGAATCAGGTTTTGTTTTTCAAGAGGTTTCTTTCTAACCGGGTGGTGAAAAAGTATCGGCATTGTATATAATAAAATCATTTGGTTTTTGTGGTTCGTTTTCGGTCTATTAAACCAAGGCAGCTCAAAGACTCATGGTAAAATATATAAATCTCGGAGGAAAAATAATTATGAGCAAATGAAATGAAAGAATCGTTGTATTGCAAAGCCATAAAATCGGTTTGCAAGAAGGTAGAATTAAATGAAACTTAATACGATTATAATAATTTTTGCTTTTCAGCACGAGAACGAATCCCAGAATTGTTCTAAACAATTCAATAATCTTACGCAGGATTTGGTTGTATTTTTGAGCTAAGGTGCCCATACTTTTACTTGTGTTTTGACGATTGTATCTGTTTGAATTGGTTTTAGTTTTAACTATTTTAAGAGCAATTCTCTGAAGCAAATTTGAAACAATGTAAAGTGTACAAAATTTCGCTTCCATTGTACTGTCATTTTATATTTATCTTAAAACTTTTGAGATAAAGAATTTTTTGTGAGATTAAAGACTTCAGGTTCGAATTTCATAACGAGTGAATAAGGCAATCTTTCCGTTAATGTCTCTTTGAATAAGATGAAATAAATTTAATTCCTGCAATAACTTTTACATTTATATGGAAAATAACAAGAAGAAAAACAAAGCGACAGTAACTATTGTCGATTGTTGAACAGTTATGCAAACAGATAAAGAACAAACGAGCTGATTTAATGAAAGAAAGTTGGAAAACCCGTCTGTTTTCTTTCGTACGACGAGATGTCCGCATATTTGTAATGGAACATACATTTTACTGCCTAGTTCAAACGACTTTATGCTTCTTATTAATTGATTATTTAAAAATATCATTGTGAAAATTCCTTATTCATCGAAAACATTAAAGTATGGATATAAGAAAGTTTTTCTTCAGTCATTAAACTAGAAAATATAAACTGATTTACTATGGCTTACAAATATTTTCAATTGTGATATGTTTTGTTCTTCTGAGATCTTTAAATTTCACAAAAAGACTTTGAAAGTCCTCAGTAACAAATGATGAAGCTTTAAATCATGTACTGCTGATTTCTACAGAAAAAGTAAATAAACTTTTGAAGGACTAGGGCTTTGGTCATTATTGCTATATACTAACCGTTATCTCAGTTTCAACTTTTGCCACCACAAAGAAGTTGCCATATTTTTTAACTTTCTCGTACTATTTCCTTTTCTTTCTTGCTTTTCATACTAGATTCTTCCCTTCATGAGAAAAATAAACCCCAAAAATGAGCCCACATGAAAAGATCTCAAAGAAAACCCAAACGTAAAAGGAATTTTTACGGATGATGCAATTTCATGACCCAAAATTGCTAACAGGTTTTCCTGTGTTTTTGTCAACGAAGCGAATACACTTTGGAATTTTTTTTACCAAATTCATTTTATTTTCATGTGGCTGTATTGTTTGCCCTGACACAAATTCAGGGTTTGAATAAAGACTTGTTTTACATGCTTGATCGAAAAAGAATCATAAAAACTTTCAATGATTGTGCAACTATATCAATCCCAGTTTTTTTCGAGCGTTTGTAGCCCGTGTGCGAATCGTTTCGACTAGTACTATTGTACAAAAATCACTTGGCTTTTTCGTTCACTGAAACAATTACAAAATCTTTTTATAATATCTTTACAAGTGCTAACTTATATGTTAATATATGAAGTGCTGCCTTAAATACTATTTCCTTAGACACAATGAAACAACGGGTTTAAAGGAGCGAACATTATACAATTCAAATCTATTCTATCCTATGACTACCTGTACTTAAAGGTTCAATTCTTATCTTACAAACAAAAAAAAGTATATATTGTTTATAGAAGTCTGTATAGCTTTGCGTGGAAAGCGAAACAGATCACAGACTAGTAGTTCTTTTTGTTTTCGTTCTAATTTTCTCATGCAATTTCCATCAAGCTGTGGAGTTCCTTTTCATCTTGCTTGGTGACTATATGCTATACGTGGCTAATAGAAATGATTCAGCTCATCGAGCGTTATTCGCAGGATACTGTGTGCACTGTCCATAATGCGATTTGCAGTACGGGTTTGACAGTTGATACATGGCTGGAACTTTTTCGTTTCGCTCCACAACGGTACTCTGCTGGTAGCTTGGACTCTGAGGCAAGAGAGCCAAGGACATGTGATATTCAGGTCGACCTTGTGGTGGAATTGAAAAGCTACCTGGAATGCCATAGTTAGGTCTTTTGGTAATGGAAGATGTGGAAACAGAAGGTGAACCATGTAGAGGCATCATGAAGCTCTCTGAGTACGGTGGTGGTACATGAGGGCTTAAATAGTGGTGCATTGGGATGGAATATCCCGGGGATAATGAATCTGCAGCAGCACCGTATCCAAAGGTAGAATACGGTTCTTTTGTCCTTGAAGATTTGTTCTTGCGTCGGCGAGGTTTGTACGAGTAATCGGGATACTTCTGGTTATGGACAGAGCGCAGGTGCTTCGCTTCCATGACGAAGGGACGCTTTTCCTCTTCACTCAACCTGCTCCACTCGGCTCCAAGAAGCTTGCTTATCTCACAGTTCAGCATGTTTGGATACTTGAGGGCAAGCTTACGTCTTTCTGTCCTGGACCAAACCATAAAGGCATTCATAGGTCTCTTTATATGTGTCTCGTCTGCTTCTGCCATTTCGATGAGTTCTCCAATACTAATAATCGAAGCTGGTCTGATGGTTTTTTAAGTGAAGCTGTATCTCAGAACTTCACTCGTTTTTTCGTCCTTCGAGCCACTCCCAGTTTCACAATGATACAGCAAAGCTTTGAATCGTGAGTACGAAGAATAAAAAATTGACTATAGCAATCTAAAAAGTCTTTCAATAGGACTTGGATTTTGTCTCTTCCAGTTGATAGTCTATCGTTTGACTTGGCAATACTGAAAGTAGCATTTAGCTCACCTCTATATAACAGCACAAGAACAATACCCAATGCTATGAATAATTCATCTTGAATTCAGGGTTCGTATCCGAGCGTCGTTCAACGTATTGTTAGGTGGGAATGATTCATTCTGCAGCTGTTCCGCGACAAACAATAATACGAACGTCACTCATGAAAGCCAGCTTGAATACAGCTACAGCCCTTTACTGTGAAACAACATAATTGAACTTTAAACGGCACACGAATGTAAAGATTTACTTCAGACAAGATAAATTAATCTTTTTTGTCTAAAGCTTTAGTCTCTCTTGTTCTTTTGGGCTAATGACTGCTCTATCTTTGTACTTTAGTTCATATACGTTTTGTTCATTTCATCGCACCCTCATCATCTCCGTGAACATGGTCGAAAAACCTCATACTTTTGGTGCAATCTTTATATATATTTTTTCTATTCATCCAGTAAAACTTTACCTATACGTTTTTTAACTTCATATAAAGTGCCATCAAAACAGCAAAATATTTTAATAAATATTTAATGACATTAACATTTTTAGGTCCATCTATTTGCCAACCTACTTACGATTAACGTTTTTAAAACGTTAAGGCTTGGAACAACCAAGCAAAGTCTTGACAACTCATTTTTAAGTCGCCCCGCAGCGTCATTTTATCATCATAACCAGTTGAGTTGTCAAAAAAAAAAAACAGTTTCAGAGAAATATTTTTTTACCAGGCTATGAATATTAATGATACGATGGACAAATATAGATAAATCTATCTATGTAATAGAAAACTACAGTTTAAGAGAAGGTTTCTATCAGAAGTCGAGAAGGGAGTTCGAGTGAGTACCGGAGTGGCATGTAAGAAAAATATTTTTAGTGATTTAATGAAGGCACCTAGTTTGTAAGTCAATGTTTGCAAAGCTGCAATGTCTTGAGAACATGAACAAAACGTTTTCAAGATACGACTGACGTTGTGTGATTAAATTTTTAATCTCAAGTTGAATACTTGGGGAAAGTTTGGTCAGAATTAATTCACTTTTAGGTAAATACAGTAGAGTCCACATACTTCAGTTGTATAAAAATTTACATTTGCAATTTCTAAAGAATTCACAAAGAAATAAATAATACGTTTATTGCTAAAATAAGATATGTAAAACAACTGGTATTGGAAATAGTTATTTTATATAAAAGATCAAGGTATTTTTTCTTTTATGTCCAAAGATCAAAGTAAATGGATTTTATTTCAAATTATATCTGAAAACATTTGGACAGTAAATGAATGCATAGTCTTAGATCTTTATCTGGTTCTGTTGCTATTCTTGCAATACTAAATCAAGCGATACAAAGCATGATCTGACTCGTAGTATCAAGTATTAACTGACTAGAATCAACTGAATTAACTGGGTATGAACCATTCTTGAAATGATAGCATGGTCCAACTCAGTCAGTCATGCATGCTGAAGTCCCGGGGCTGAAGTGTATTTGACTGATATATACACATTTCATATATATATATATWTWTTTTTTTTTCAGTATATACTGATTATATACATATCAATACATGTATATTTAAAAGTCAAACGCTTCCTGAACAACCTCTGGTGCCATGCTATATCTGGGTGATTGGATTCACTCTATTCATATATTCTCTTTAAACCTCTCTGAGTCCTTTTGGATCCTCCAATGCCTGTGTGGTCGTCGTTGCCATCCAGTTTTTGTACACTTCATATACACACATATACATATATATGGAAATTAACCTTGATTAGAAGCTAAGATCTATGAGATAAAAAAGTGACATATTTACTGGAATAGATGTATATATTGCTTGTAATATATATGATAACATTTTAATGTTCTTTATCTGGTTAGGGTTATTGTAAACAGTTCTACTTAATATTCATGTGTATACGCATTGTGTGGACCTGTACTGCGAAGTGACTTATCATCGTAAGGACACTATTTTTCCCCCTAATTTTTGCAGTAGTTTTACACCTTAAACTTAACACTATTCAAAAAAATTTCCAATATATATTTCAAGAAGAGAAAGGAGAAATATATTGCTCAGTAATTACCAGGTCAGAACAGGAAAATGCAATCACAACTGAGCCATTAAATTTATTGTTCACCATATTATATTGTTCCTTCGAATGAACAAAATCCATCTAGTTTTATTCAAAACTGAGTAAGATATCACACATGAAGTCCAAATGAATTATAACTTCCAAGTTTATTCAAAGAACACTAGAAAACATTGATAATAGGCAAGAGTTGGCAGATTTTAGTATTAAGTTTCCCTGGATGAGTTCTGTAGCATAAAGAAACTATAAACTAATAAACTGCTTAAAAAACTATTCTCCTATTTACGACCTATAATTTTTAAATCCTGTACTCAGTCGGTAATGGTTTATTTACTCTAGGTCCTTCGATGAGCTTCTAAATGGCTGCGAATATGGACTATAAATGGAATATAATGACAAGAAGAAGATAGTGCTCTTGTCTTAGAGCTTATGTCGTGGTGGTTCAAGTTCATACGGTACACAATACCCCGTAGGAATAAGGAAAGTAAAAAACATCTGGGTGAAATAATATTCTTTGAAGCTAAAAAACCAAATGCACTGTGAGCTCAAATTACACGAATCTTGCCTTCCTTTCGATTTCGATTTCATATTTCATCTTCAAACACTGTCAATCAAATCATATTTTCAATGTCTAAAACAACACAGTTAACACTGAATGAACTTCAAGAACCTATTAAAAAACATTCCTAGACCAATCAAAATGTATCTTTATTCTTATGTATAAAATTACCCAAGATCACGTGATTGTAAAGTCATCTGGGCGTGATGGCGACATCAAACAAACCCTCTCGAATGTATGTCCTACTAAGCTGGATTTTTATTAGTTCTCATAATTTTATTGACATTTCTTATTATGAGTCAGCGAAATTTTGATGGCCTCCCTCTTGTTACCTCAGCTATTTTATACTATATATGTTATGGATTTGTTGTTGATTTAAAATTTAATTTTTTGGTAGAAATAACGGTCACTGAAGAATAAACGTTGAATTACAACTCCAAATGTTAATTACTATGATTTAGTGAGAATTTGAGGTATTCTTGTCAGATATCTTAGCTCGAACCAGCTACGTACCCAGCTTTCTTACTATGTTTACATTGATTCGCAGAGTGAACGAACGCTTGCCTAAAGATTGCAAGCAAAAAAAGAAGGCCAATGATAAACGTGGCATTATATTTTGAACCGGCTAATCATGAATAATTTGATAAAGGTGAGCAAGTAATTATATCTTTTTTTTGAGTGAAAAGTCCTGATCAATGAATCTTTCATTCACATCCTATTCATAGCACAGGAAATATCGAAAATATATACTGAAAATAAAAGACGTGCCAGGGCAAAATGAAGTTTCCGTTGTTTTTCCCAACACACTAACAACAGGTATTTACAATGTTTTACAATCACTGAGTTAGCGAACAATGAGCGATTATTAATGTTTTCAGAAAAAAATGCATGAAAAATAAAAGATAATATTTTGAGTACAACACAAATTTATTATTGAGAAAGTCTACTTTAGGAAATGCTAGTTCCCCAAAAGATATGGGACGAATGCGAGATGATCGAGCCCATGTTGTGAAGAATTGTTGATTTTCTCACAGGAAAGTTAAGTAGAGACGCCGTATCTAGAAGCATACGAGAAAAATGAAAAGAACTTTTACACAACGTAGCGAGTTTGAGTTTGAATCCTGAAACGCTTAAATACTTCAGTATAAAAAGTCTTTTTCAACTTTAGCTATAAGTAAGTGTTATGACGTCAGTCGGCTCAAGTCACTGTATGCTTAAATTATTTCTCTTCGGCAATAAAAAAAAACAATGTATAGTCCTGATAGAAGAAGAAGAAGAAGAAGAANAAGAAGAAGAAGAAGAAGAAGAAAATGGTTTAGTTTAAAATACAACTTACTGATTGAAGCTGAATTACATGTATATAAATTTAAAAATCACAAATATCATCAAATTACAAAATCGGAATTTGAAATATATAGAGACAGAAAAGCTAATGCTAACTCCGGAATCAAATACAGCTGGAATATGATAACACTGTAGTGAGAAATTTCATGCTCTAAGAATTTTTTTTCCATTAATACTTGCCTCGATACAAAACAAGGCAGGTAAAGCTGAGTGTCACGAGCCCGCGTTTCTTCTGGTCAGCATTAGCTCCACATGAAGTAGACACTTCATGTTTAATGGGTGATCGCGTTTTTTCTTTTGCGTTGAATATTTAGTACATTAAGTTGACATTTAAAGTGAAGAACAATCGTGGCAAGCAATAGACAAGTACTCATAGTGTTAACTTTGAACAACATTAAATGTCTTTGATGCCCGTTCAAGTGCATCACGCCTTAAGGCTGGTCCCAGCTAACACTAACTGTTTAATTTATTAATTAGCTGGCAAAAAGCCAAACCAAAAATGAACATTTGAAGCTTGATATGTTGGTATTGTTCATTTGTTTTTAAAGATTTTGTTCGTGTAACGCCTAGATTTTACGCCCCTCGCTTCTCTCCTCCACACACTTTTCTCTCTCCTCTCTCATCTCTCCTCTGCCCATGTTAAGAAAAACATTTTCAGAGTCAAGCGTTAGGAAAAAATGTAGTCCTTGACCAAAATGGGTCTACATGCATATAGAACATTTACTGTTAATAGGTTATTATTGTTTAAGACAGTGATCTGTTCAGTACTAATGAGAAGTTTTATTTTGGACTTGAGAACTTTAGTATTTTTTGCACTGATAACTTGTCAATGAGATGATGACCGAAGGCCGTATCTTAAATAATTTATGACAGAAGTAGACACAGGATTTTGATTGGGTGGATAATTTTAAGTAAATTAGGCATCCACTCGGATCCGTAAATGTATGAGTAATGCGTATTTCTTCTTTGAATAAAGATGATTGTATTTCATTGACATATCTTT